GGTAGAGTTATGTTCTGAATTTGTCATTATAAAAAAAAATCGGGAACCAGAAGACTGACTTGATCAATAGCAAGAGCGATAAAAGAATGGAAGTCCTTCAATCAGAACTGATCGAAGATCCCAATGAGAATTATAATTCATCTCTCTAGAAATTGTCGATGTGCATACAACTGCCTGTGAATTAATGCTTACAGTGCCAATAATAATTGCTTTCTCTCTCATCACCTCGATTTTTATGCGATTCAAATATCATTTAGACGTGCTTCCAACACATCAACAAGGATGAGAGGTACGGCAAGTCCGCATCAATAACTTGGTCGACTTGAGGGGAGCACAAAACGTTACCGTTCGCAAGAGAGCCATTTGCAACAGATTTGCATTGCGTGAGGATGCTCTTTGGCTCTACATAGAGTCACGAAAACATTAGTTTGTGAACCCTTTGCACCAGCCGTATAACCCTCACTTTGCAAAACCTTTGCGGCAACAATATGAACGTCGGTAGTATGTAAACCTTTTGCAGCCACAATAGCAACTTCTCGTGCAAACCAGTTTGCAATTTATTTATGTGAAAAATAATAGATGAGGATGTCTAATTATATGGGCTCAAAGTCTAAAATAAAATTTTTAAAATATTGTGACATAATATCATGTATCAGCTATTAATTTATATTTAATAATTAAAAATAAGTGTGATCTTCTTAAATATAAAATAAATAATCTTATATTGTACAATCTTTTTTTTTATAATAAAACTTACATACCATCACTCCCATATCCCAATAATTGTTGGTTTATGCTCTATGACCTTGAGTGCTTTGCTTTAGCAACATTTTCCCCATTGATATAAAACTTTCCATGGTCATTAGGCACCTATGAGAATCTATCTCCACCATAACTCCTCTTGCATAAAACATTTTTTAATATTAACCTCCAAGCCCTTTGTATCCTCCCATTTGTAAAATTGAGAGATAATTAGGGATCTTTCCGGCCCCAAATTCCTCCAATTTTCTTCCCCAAAAATATCTCACAATTGCCAAAATTAGAACCATGTCTTATGAATCTTTGGTTATTGCCCTTTGTTAGTGAAAATGCAGCATGTATTCCTTTCCAAGCTCAAAGGCCCCTCCCAACCAAAACAATTGTTCTAAAAATTCAAATGTATAATAATATATCAGATTTATATAGCGAACTCCAATTAATTGAAAAAAGATTTTGATGATGATGACTTCCTATCAATTACACCCACATTTATTGGCGATGGCCAATTCCCATCCTAATTTAGTATAATTTTTTTTTTTTTTAACCCAAAAAATAAAGTATTTCTAATATATTCCTTTATTATTATTATTATTCTTATTTTCTTATATTTTTAATATATGATTGGGACTGGACCTTGCCGAGTACCCCCAAGTTGTATGTACAATTAGGGTTTACATGAAAAAATTTAAAAAAAAAAAAGTAAAAAACTCTCTCTCTCTATAACATTTGCAAAGTCGGCAGAGTAATTCCCACTCAACCAAGTTACCAGGGCTCGGGCCCTTGCTGAGCCCGAGCTGGGTGTCCAACTCGGGGATATTAAAAAAAATTCAAATAAAATGTAAAAAATATTTAAAAATAATGAATTTATTTGAAATATGTTTTTTATACTTTTTATCATTTTGACGAAGATGGGAAAGTGTTTTAACCATAAATACTTATTTTTATTTTTAATCATTTTTTGATTATTTGAAAATTACCTCAACTTCATTTTGATATGTTTTTGCTTAATCTTACTTTAAACATATATTTTTTATTTTTTATTTTTAATAATGTTTTGAACCATTTTTTTGTTTCTACAATACTCGGCACTACTTGGACCGAGTTATTGGGACTCGGTCAGAGTACTGTGATCGGGCATGTGCTTGAGTACTCAACCCGAGCAGTTAGTTTCCAACACTCCCTCTAACCCCTTTTCCAGTCCCCTCTCCCCCTCCCTCCCTCCCTCCCTGTCCTTTTTCCATCTCTCTAATTTCCAGTACAATACCCCAAAGTTTAGCATCACCTCTAAGCAATTTCACAAACATTTTCAATCTCCACAGCCCTTGCTGCAAATCCATACCAATCTTCTCTCTCCTTGGTTGGGCTTCTCAAACATAGAAGATGAAGACCCCACGAGGGATAGGTTATTAAGGTCCTTGCAGTAGCATCACCACACCTAATCACCACATTGTAGTTTCTCTTCTTATCACTAACACTATCTCACTAATACTTTTAAAAATATCACTCTTAATCTACTTTAAAAAAAAAAAACGGGTAAAACCTGTATTCCCCATTGAATAACCAAAAAAAAAAAAAAATCCCAATATGGATGGCAATGGACCCATACACGACCCGAAACTCGAGGGGTACACCTGATCTCGATCTAAATATGGATCAAAATATTTGACCCGACGGATTAAATCCATGTTCAAATCTTGGACCTAAACACTATTCAGATTTGAGTGTGAATTTGAGTCCAAAACCATCATTGCCGCCCCTAAACCCCATAACTGCTGAGGCATGGAGGGAAAGGAGATACGAAAAAGATTTGAGAGAAGTGGAGGGGTTACATGGCGGGGTTTGGAGAGAATTGAGGGCTGCGTAGCCCAAGGCCGGGGCCATGGAGGGAAAGGAGATATGACAAAGATTTGAGAGAAGCGGAGGGGTTACATGGCCGGGTGTGGAGAGAGGGGAGGGCTGCGTGGCCCGAGGCCGGGGCCATGAGAGATTGAATAGACCTCTCTTTCCTTACCGGAGGGAGAAGGATCTGTTTTGTCAATCTCTCTCCACCCCATTTGTGGGAAGAAAGAGAGATCGGATCGACCTCTCTCTATGGGAAGAACGCTGTTCGTTTTGTGAAAGAATCATTTACCGAACCTACCAAATTTTCCAGTCCTCCAACCAGCTTTCCCACCACTAACTATTCTACTAAAAATTGGCAAACCAGATCACAACGAGCCAATTCGTATTAGGAAGTCGTTAGGCCGTTTTGGGATTTGACAAAGCATTTGAACAAACTAGCTCCCCTCTAAACTGGCTAGTTTTTTAAGAGAAGCAACTAATCCCACTGTAATTACTAATATTCTTTATTATTTTTTATTTTTTTTAAGAAAAATTTATCGACAGATTCACTCCACACAAGACCAATCCAGCCAAATTTTCCAGCCAGGCCAGTGACGCATGACACCGTTCAAGGGCAATCATGCAATTTTTTCACAATGCGTGTGTAAAATGACCAATGCAAAAGGCCAGCAAAGGTGGGGACAAAGATGATAGCATAAACCCAAAAGCATCACGGGTGATGATCCCTCACTGTCCGGGACCATTTTCTCTCTTTAACTTTGAAAAGCATCTCTCTCTCTCTCTCTCTCTCCTCCTTTATTCACATGGCATGCATAGATCAATATATAAAAATAAGGCTCTCCTCATGATAAAGCACCACCACCAAACGTTCACAATTATTGATGGATGAGAGAGAGAGTAGCTGACATTTACATAGATTCAGACCACACACACTAACCGGGAAGAGAGGCGAACAAAACAAAACCTACACGTCTCCCCTTTGCATTTACACAAAGCCTGCAACTCTTTAGAGATCAGTGGAGAGAGAAAAGTCACCAAAATGAAAGGAAACCCAACAACTTCTGCAAATTTTGAGGCTATGCCCAACAACTTCTGCAAATTTTGAGGCTATGTTTAAGATCTGGATTTAAAGGGAATGGCCCTGATCACAATTTGGTGGTAAACAGCAGCAAGAGCAGCTCCAATGAAGGGACCCACCCAGAAAATCCACTGCAAAACATTTGTAATCATGGTTTTAGAGAGAGAAAATAGAAGGTAGACCTTTACCAAAAAAAAAAGAAAGAAAGAAGATAGACTGGTTAGAGGAGAGACAGATGATGAAAGAGAGTGGATTAGATGGTCTGATTAGAGAGATAAAGCCTTTGAGTCTTCGACAGATGATGAGAGAGTGGATTAGAGACAGAAAGTAAAGACTGGTGGACAAACAAAATAGAGCAGTCGAGAGAGATTAGAAAGAGCAAAAGTAGAGAGAGAAAGAGAGTAAAGTCTGAAAGTGAAATCGAATAAAGAGTACTCAGACTATCAGAGTAAGAATTGAGCAAAGATTAGTAGAGAGAAATGAGGGGAGAGACCTGTAGAGAGAGAAAGAGGTAGAGTGAAAACAGAGTAGAGAGAGAAAATATAGTAGAGAGAGAAGAAACATACATGGTCGTCCCAGGCTTGGTCTCGGTTGAAGATGATGGCAGCTCCGAGGCTGCGAGCTGGGTTGATCCCAGTTCCAGTGATGGGGATGGTGGCGAGGTGAACAAGGAACACCGCAAACCCAATTGGAAGAGGAGCCAATATCTGTTTTTACACATCAGTTTAAAGTTAGGCGATTTAGAGAGATAAAAGACCCTACAGAGAGAAACATGAGAAGACAAAAGCCCAAGAAACCTAATCTCTCTCTATCCCACAATCTCTCTTCCAGAGAGAGAGAGAGTTGTTACTTTCTCTTGAGGAAAAGCTTCATCCTTTTGAGTGGAAGACTGGGCATAGAGAGAGAAAAGTCATCACCTTTTTCCCTGAGATGAACAGCTGGAAAGAGATGGAGAGAGAGAAAAGCTGTATAGAGAGAGAAAGAGCTAGAGAAACAGCTCTAGAGAGGGAGCTGTAGAGAGAGATAGAGCGAGAAAGAGGCATACAAGGGATCCCTTGCAAGAGAGCGAGAGAGCTAAAGAGAGAGTGAGAAACAACTTTAGAGAGAGAAAGTTGAGTGAGTTATAGAGGAACAGCTAGAGACAGTGAGAAACAGCTTTAGAGAGCCAAAACTCAGAGAAACAATATAGAAAGAGAAAGAACTAGAGAGAGATACATACAGGAACATGGGAGTCTCTTGCGCTCCTCTTGGCATCAGTTGCAGAGAAGACGGTGTAAACGAGCACAAAGGTCCCGACGATCTCGGCACCGAGGCCGTCACCCTTGGTGTAGCCGTTTTGCACCCTGTTAGCTCCGCCTCCATGCACCTGGTATTGACTCTTTTCGAACCCTTTCACCACCCCAGCTCCGCAAATGGCACCAAGGCATTGCATCACCATGTAAAACACAGCTCTAGTGAGAGAAAGCTTCCTCGCCAGAAGAAGCCCGAAGGTCACTGCAGGGTTGATGTGCCCACCTGGGGTAGAGAGAGAAACAATTAGAGATGAGAAACATTTGGAGCTAAGGTAGAGAGAGAAATGATTGGAGCTAAACAAGGTCTAGAGAGAGAAACAATTAGAGCTAAATATGATAGAGAGAGAAACATTTGGAGCTAAATGAGACAGAGAGAAACAATTGAAACAAAGTAGAGAGAAAAAATTAGCTCAATACGATATTTAGAGAGAGAAGATCGAAGCTAAAGAAGATTGAGAGCTTCAGATATGAGAGAAAGAGAGCTCAATTGCAAAAGGATAGAGAAAGTCTGTGAAGAGAGGCTAGAGAAAGAAAATATCCAGCATCTATAGAGAGAAAATCCCCAACAACCAGAGTGAGAATATCAAGAGAGAGAAAGTTCAGATACCTGAAATCCCAGCAGTGCAGTAAACCAGAGCGAAGATCATGCCACCAAAAGCCCAGGCGATCCCCTGAATACCCACCGAAGAGCAGAGGGTTGTCTCTTTCTTCACACCCATCACAGTCAAAATGGTGATGTATAGAAAGAGAAAGGTGGCTATGAACTCTGCAATCCCAGCCCTCCAAAACGACCATGACTGGAGCTCACCAGGCTCAAACAATGGAGCAGGAGGTGGCTCCTTGTAGTCCTTGTCCTGGCTCTGAGCTGCTGTTCCAATGGGTTGTCTCTCTGAGTACTTGTTTGCTCCGAGCTTCACATCCTCTTCCTTGCCCTCCATTTTCTCTCTCTACTTTCTCTCTCAAAGTCTCCGTAAAGCTGCAACGGTTGCTTCAATGAAAGGGCATGGAGGCCTTATATAGGGGGTGGAGCCTTGATGATGGGCCCGGGCCGGTGATAATCAATTATCTGCATATATCTTGTGCTTTGGATTCTTTTGCACCTAGTCTTATTACTGTTTCTCTCTCTAACATTTATTTGTTCTCTCTCTTAAACACTGTTTCTCTCTCTAACATTTACTGCTCTCTCTCTATAACATCTATTTGTTCTTCCCCTGACATTGTGTTTCCCTCTAGCATTTAATTGTTCTCTCTCTCTCTAACATTTGGCACTCTTTCTAACATTTGTTCTTTTCTCTCTGACATTTTGTTTCTCTCTCTAGAATTTATGGATTATTTGGATAAGAGAGCGTTTGGATTGATACTTGTGCACAGCTCTACGGTCCACTTTCTCTTTGATGAAAGAGTATAAAGCACGATTTGCAACACCTACCCACTCACAGTTTCTCTCTCTTAAATTTAAGTGTTTCTCTCTCTAAATTTGAAAGTTCAGAGAATTCGAGAGCTAGTCGATAATCAGTTAAATTAAATTAACGTAGCAAAGGAACGACAATGGAGACATCGTTGTCACCCAATGCTTTTTCTAGACGTTTCTCACCCCTCTTTCTCTCTACCTCTCTTTTAGTCTAAAAGACTAAACAAATATTCTCTCTTGATGAAAAAAAATAAATAATATGCTAATTCTGGGCTGGGCCTGTCCGATCCCAATTGTCAGACTGACTCATTTAGATTTGTTTCACCGGATAAAATTGTATAAAAAATAAAATTAGTGGAAGCTGGACGAGTATAAGGATTTTTTACATGTATTGATGTGATTCACTTCTCAAAATACTAGATAATAAATAGGGAAAGCTTATAAAAAAGTTATATGCTTCTCCCACCAATCCAGCTATTCAATTTAGATCAAATGAATCATTAATTGTTTAATCTAGATCCGACGTCTCGTAGTATTTTATTTTTATTTTTTTCTACAAAATATATGAACATGAAATTTGGTATGCATCATCATCTCAATGGGGTGCACCTAAAAAAAAAAAAATGATAAAATAAATGACTTAAATACTCCTAAATTTTTAGGGGGTATTTTGATATTTTATTTTATCAAAAAATATGTTTTTTTGTATTTTTTGAAAGTGCGAGTTTGAGAGAGGAGTGGACCGCAACAATTTGGTGTCAAAATTTTATGTCCAAAAAATTAAAAATAAAACAGTAAATAGGCATGATATTGTGATTGGGTCCATCTCAACAGTCCATTCAAATTGGATGGTTGGATAGAGAGAAATATATAACTTATATACAGTAAGAAAAATACATAAAGTTTTCTCTTTTACATAAGGGAAAGGTTAACATAGAGCCGAGGCTCTGAACAATTAAATTAGAGCCTACTTCAAAAATTTCAATAGAAGAAGTTGTTTTGAGGCCAAATATCCTCAAATTGATAATCTCAACATCAATATGCATGGATAATGAGAAAAAAATAGATTTTAAGTTTTGAAAATAATGTATTTTGTAATGAATTTTTTGACCGTCAATTTTCAAGATTTTCAAATTTTCATAGATCTGTCGATCTACTCTATTTGTTAAGCTTACAAATAAAGATGAAAATATATTGTAAGGCTGCCACAAAGATTTACAGTATTAAAACCACATTTCTCGACACCAGTTGAAGGTAGGCTCTAATTTGATGGTTTAAAGCCTAGGCTCTATAAAAACCGCACCATTTAAAAGCCTATATTTTTTCGCCTTAAGTGAACACTTTTCATAGAATCAAAACTCAGCAAGTTCGATTTGAAACCAAACCAATTTTTAGCATAATTGTTTACAAAACTCGCTTAAGTTCCTGATAGCCATGGTGAGTCCGAAACTATATTAAATAAAAAAATTGGTGAGTCCTAAACTATATTAAATAAAAAAATGTTTATATAAGGTGCCAATCTTATACTATAGAACTAAGACGCACTTAAAAAAAACTTAAAAAAAAAATGTTGTTCTAATGCTTAATGCCGAAACACCCTTCAGTTGATGATATCAACTCAGAGATATATCGATTTAAAAGAAAATAAGGATTTCAACTGCAAAAAATAGTGCAACTTGTAATTTATTATCTAATTTGTTAATTTTTTAAATATTTATAGATATACACAATCTACATTATTTTTAAAGCTTTAAATTGTACAGCTAAAACAAAATTTAGACCATCAAAAAGATAAACATCTTTTAGCATCATTTTGATCTTAATGCACCAACCTTATACCAACATCACCCATTAAATAGACCACTAATTCTTATTCAATATCTCTTTTAAAAATAATTATTTTCTTCTAATCTCTCTCACTCTCAATAATTTTCAACTCCCCCACAAACATTTTTTCCCTTCTTGCCTCTTGGATCCTCTCTCACTTGCAGTAACTTAACTCTCTCTCTCTCTTGGATTCTCTCACTTGTAAGAACTTAACTCTCTCTCTCCCCCCTCTCTCTCTTGTCATTTTCCAAAATACTTACTTCTAAATTATTTTCCAATGAAGAACCCATAAACTAATCATATCCATCTCTAGAATAAAAAACATGCATTCATCATCTTCGAAACTTTAAAAAAAAAAAAAAGTAATACATGACTATTATTAACCATGAACGGATAAACTTAGATATGGGTCTCAGTATATAAAATTATAACACAAGAAATTAGTAATCACCGATGAAAATCGAAAAACACTCTCTTTCTCTCTCTAAAATCGACTTCAGCATCTTGGAGACTCTTACTTGTAGTAACTCAACACTCTCTTTCTCTCTCTAAAATCATTTTCAAAAATTACCTACTTCATACATTCATCATCTTGGATTCTCTCTCTCTCATGTCATTTTCCAAAATTATCTACTTCTAAATACTCTTCCAATGAAGAATCCATAACCTAATCACCCACCTCTAGCAAGAAAACATGCATTCATCATAAAAGGTCAATTTTTGTCCCTAAATTGTATTTCAAACAAATAATTTCTAAAGGAAAATGATAGAAACATGGGCCGGTGAGGGGGGGCCATTTATTCCTTTGAAATTATTCATTTTTTTGAGCTAATGTGATGACCGTTGAGAAAAAGACAGCTTGGGCTGATTCCAAGCCAGCTATGAAGTAAAGATAAGCTCAAAAGTGAGGCTTAGCTAATCATGATAAACAACTTTTAATCTTAATAATAACACTCATAAACCTTCTATTAAAATTAGCATTTTTTGTTAAAATATGATTTGTTTTACGGTTTCAAAAAATTGCAGAATTTTTGTCAATGTTTTTTATCAGTAGAAATATCTTGGTAAAATCAATTTAATATGATATTTTATAAGCTTCCCAATTTCCCATTATTATTGTGATAAAATACTCTCAGGGTAAAACATGAATCACCATCATCGTCAAAACAATTTCCCAACTAATTGCGGTCGGTTAGGATAAAACATGAATGTAATTTGAAAATAAAATTTGCAATCTCATTTTAAGATAAACATGCCACTTCCCCTATAATAGTTCTTATTTCTTAAGTATCAGTGAATTGAGAGAAAATTTGCAAGAAATTGATAATACAGATAGAGCGAGTAGTGAGCATAATGCTTTTGTATTTTTTACACATTTTAGCAAAAAATTTCATGTAAATTATCCAACAGCTTCATTTTTTTTTTCTAAATTATCTTATTCCACGAATAAACATCATTCAAAGCCACATTTTCCAGAACATTAAAAAAGAAAAAAAAAAACACACACTTTTTTTAGCGTTTTAGCGAAGTTTGGGTTGCCCACATGGATCAGTGCAAAATTGTACCAACCTTAGACTTCAATTAGCCACATGACCAAATACTTTATTGGAAGTCGATGAGACATGCCAAATGCCTTTCCACTAATAATTAACTCTACTTTAATTTTCTTACAAAAAGAAACCCATATTTTTATTCATAAACACAAAATGGATTGTTTGTGCTAAAATATTTCATACTGCAGCAGGAGCATATCGTCAATTTGCTCCCTCCGGGAAAAGTCAAGTTAATATTTTTTTTGGATTCCGAATTTTGGTCATGTAATTTCTAGAACCGATGAACCAACCTCAAAGCAAAAATTTATAATAATTTGTACTCTATATATGTCTAAATAAGTAACGTCAGAAGATTGAATAAGAATCCTCTAAATTTTAGAGGGGAAGTTCTAGATATTCAATAAATGAAAAAACCCAATTTTTTATATTCCAAATAATAATCCTGTTATACTTGATATATCCCAAAATTTTGGATTAAAAAAAAGTCACGAGTGTCTATTTCGGCCGAGGAGGTTGTTGTACAATATGGTATTGCAGGAGCATACTACATACACTCTTTATTTATGACCTATTTACTTGTTTAAGTAAAATTATATTTTTCCTTGAAAAAAAAAAAAACTCATCTATTTTATTCATGAAAATAAACTAATATTTTTTTTAGTTATATTTATGTAGTACTTACTTATTTATTTATTGGGATTTGATGCAACATGAAGTAGACCCAATGCCTGCTTTTATGTGGGGCTTGTCCCCCATTTTGAACTTTAGTCGTGAGCAACCACCACACGACAACGCATATCCATCCTAGAGCCACAAATTTTAGGGCGGGTCCCGCCCCCATTTTAAGATCGAATCTCAGCCGTTCACGACAAACCGACCTTCGCCGTCCAAACCTAATCCAAGGGTAGAGTTGTAAAAAGCCGACCAATTTTATGAACTCCATTATAAATGATGATGTCATCAATTGAATTTTTTAGCCGTTGCTCCAACGTTTAACACGTGGAATCATTCAACCGATACGATCTTGCCACGTGGATTTAAAATTAGGACTAATACTTGGAGTTTGAGCCTTTTGCCATGTTTTTTTTGGAGCTGACATGTGAAGTGTCTTATACGATGTTCGCAAAATTGGATCGGATAGTCGGGCGATTAACCTGACTTGTCAAGTCGATTGATTATATTTTTAAAATGAATTAAAAATCTAAAAAATTTAAAAAATAGAAGAAAAAAAACATATATTAAGTGTATATTATCTTGAAAAAATACCTCCATATTTTTTATTTTTAGGTTTTAGTCCATAAAAAATTTAAAGTTTTAAAAGATATCTTGAAACATAAACATGGTAGATTTTATTTCTTCTAACCCCTAAACTAATTTAAATCTATTTTTTTATACCAAACAAATCTAAAAATATATGTATTTTCTAAAAGGAAAGGTTTCTATACTTCTCCTTACAACATAAAAGTTCTATCATCCCCTTACCATCCAGCCGTCCAATTTTGATCAAGAGAGTCATTCATCGTTTGATCTTAGATCCGATGTCTCAAAGTATTTTATTTTTAGCTTTTTTTATACAAATTCCATGAATATAAAGTTTGGTAGGTGCCATCTTCTCATGGGCCGCACCTATAAAAAAAAGATTAAAATAATTTTTCGATACAATATAATGACCAAAATACCCATTTGAAAATTTCAAGGGTATTTTGGTCATTTAATTTTATTGGAAATACTATTTTTATACTTTTCGCTAGTGCTAGTTTAATAGAGGAATGAACGCCCAATTTTTGGTGTCAAAATAGTTTATAGAAAAAAAATTAAAAATAAAATTGCGTAGATACGTGACATTGTGATTGGAGCAATCTTAGCCCTCAATTCAGAATGGACAGTTGGATAAATGGGAGGATAAAACTTCTATATTGTAGGAGAAGCATAAAAAGCTTTCTCTCCCCACACGCCTTTTGTCTCTTTCTGTCTTTTTATCTCTCTCCTCCCACTCTCTCTTTATGTTTACAGAGAGAGTACATTTCCAAAGAGAATGATAGACGTAGGAAGATAGAAAAAAATAACTTTAAGGTATATAACTGAAGAGAAATAAATGATTTGGTTGGATTTCACAGAGGTGAGAGGTTACGGGAAGAGAGAGGTGTTTGGAGAAACAATGGAGGAGAAAGAGAATGAGAGACGCAGGAAGAGAGAAAAAAAAAGAAGTTTGTGGTATATAAGTGAAGAATAAATGATTTGTTTAGAAAGAGCATGCATTTTTTCACATTTGTTTAGATTAAAAAATAGGTTTAAAGTAGCCATGGGTTAGAATATATATTTTGAAACCTTGGGTTTATCAAAAAATGAAACCTAAAAATAAGGGATATGGAGACATTTTCACTATTGTTTTATTACCAACATTTATCTTACAAAAACAAAATTGAAATAATTTTTCATATAAATTAATATATGATTACTATGGACTCTTATTTTTTGAGAACGTTTGGGTGTGTTGATTCTTTGGGATTTTGTTGTCCTTTGGGTATGTTTGGTAGTAAATCAGAGATTTCCAATTCCAAAATCTAGAAGGCAAAAAATTGAGTAGGGCCGGCAATGGGCCGGGCGGCCTAGTTTTAAAAAATAGTAGTCCATGGTTAGAAACTGTGGCCTGATGACAGGGTTAGAGTTAATATTGAGCCTAACTTGGCTGGGCCCTTTTTTTCTTACTTTTTTTTTTTTTTTCATTTATTTTTCACCCTGTGTGGGTCCTGTAAGGACAAGGGTTGGGCCTTGCCGCGCTTACAATTGAGCGCTTGATAACGAAAATACTGTGTTTGGTTAACTAGTATAGGACTATGGGGACTTTGAAAAACTATGTTTTAGTTTAAGCAGAAATTTAATAAATTAAGAGATATGAAAATTGACCAATTTTCATTAATTTTTTATAAAAAACTACACAATTATCCGTACATACCCTCTAAATTTCATTTAGATCGGATTTCAAAAAAAGTAATTAAAACTATTTGAAGTTTTGTGCACATTTTCATATGATGAAATGGCCCATAAAGAGAAAATTTGCATTTCTCATTTTGTTGGGGAATTCACTTTTCTATGAAAGTGGTGGAAGTCAACATTTATGATTTGTGAGAAATGTGGACTTCTTTTTACAGTAGCATTTCCATTTTTTAAACTGGAAAATGCTACAACTTTTAAAGAAGTTTGTATTGCGACCAAATTTCTGGTTTCCAAACAATCCCAAATTCTATGTGAAACGAATGCACATGTAATTACGATAAAGCATGTGTTGCTAGAATCAGATCAGCCACTTAACTGATTAGGGTCTGACCATTCCGAGCCATTGGACTGGCCACTCAATTGGTTAGGATTTTGTTTAGTCAAAGAGGATGATTAGAATTATGTTACTTAGTCTGGTGGCTAAACTAGCTAGCATTGATTCAAAAGGGAGGGATTAAATTTTAAAAAATAGAGAATCTATAATGAATAGCTAAAAAACATGAACTATGCTTATAAGTCCAAAATCAAAGAAACTTTGTTTTCACTAGCTTTTTACAAAATCCAACTTTTTGAATTGGATTAGAAAACAAAGGCACTGGTTGATGATGCGACTTGTTGGATCCAGTCTAATCTGGCTCTCTATTGAAAATAATGGTTTTGGAGGGCAAAAGAGTTGGTAATCCAAGCGGAATATGAAAAAATATTGAAATCTTTATGTGCTTCAACAATTTTTAAAGCTTATTTTAGGGTTGTAGTTCACTACTGGAAGCCACAGCTTCCAATATTGTAGCACTTCTGGTGTTTATTGAACCGAGGCCACGGCTTCCAATACAGCAGCGCTTCTGGTCTTTATTAAACCAAACTGGCCTAAATTTATACTGAAATTAGGAAGCCAAAACTTCAATGGAAGTTGGCTGCCAATCAAAAGCACCCCGGGGTACATTCCACTTGTTCTTAACAAAAAATACTCGGAATGCTATAAGTCAAGTGGCAGGTTTTTCATGTAATTTCTGTGGAAACTTGGATGAATTCATTATTAGTTTCCCTTGAAATCGGTTCATGAATTAATTATTTTGTCAAGAATCACATTTGACCTAACTTTTATTGTTCATGTCGCATTAGATCAAATTTTAACTTATTTTCCTAGAAAATAGTGTTTCTTTTTTTTGTGGGACATGGTATCGTTGTTCCAAAATTGCATCAAGACGTATATATGGGGAATTCCTCATACGTGGTTTTGGCCTAACTTCTCTATGTACGAGAGAGACGAAGACGGCTTTTGTTTGCTTGTTTTTCAGGGTAATTTAGTGGTAGGAATCGAAAACATAGATGGAGATAGTAATGAGAAGAAATGGTATACCTTTGGTGGTGCTTTCATTTGCACATATATAAAATAAGCTACATGACCCAAAATGGTACATAATTTGTGACTTAGAGTATATCATAATTTCTTAACTAAGATTTAAGCGCCTTTTTAGAAGCAGAAACAAGAATCCCAAAAAGTTGGATCTCACTAAAAATGTGCACTCAGGTTAGAAACAAAATAAGCTAACCATAATATGATAATTAAAGCATCAAACATAAAAAGTTGGATCTCACTAAAAATGTGCACTCAGGTTAGAAACAAAATAAGCTAACCATAATATGATAATTAAAGCATCAAACATAAATGCTATAACAACCCAACGATTCATGCGATTCACCTCAAAATGGTTACATTCACGGGTATGACAAGTATAAATCTACTAACTTGGTTCACAGATTTTGGGATATAGAGTTACCTTTTTAATCATCGACAAAACTCAGTCAAACAATCCTTTTAGACCCGCTTTCCTAACTGTTGTCAACCATCAATGTGCTATCTTTATTTCACAGCCAGAATATTGTCTAGGAAAAAACCCATCTCTAATCCATAACTAAACTAGACAGATAACTTTAAGAGCAACTCATACTTTATTTCACTAAAAAAGGAAACCACAAAAAATATATTGTGACACCTAAGTTATTCAATTTGATACCTTATGAGTGGGAATGATTGTGACCTCCATGTACAAAATATAAACGGTTTATTTGTAAACAATCCCATTTTGAAAACTTGAATTATATTTTTTCTCATCTTCATACAACATCTAGAGGTCGAGATGATCGAATTGAAGGTTTTTTAGTATCGAAATAACATCTTCCAACAATTTTGTGAGGTACGACTTAATTTGATTATTTAGGGCCTCGGCCTTATAGAAACTTTTAAATTATATTATTAGGTGGCTCCTAAAATTTCAAAGGGTGCGGTTTGTATAAATCCGAGGCTCTAAACAATTAAAGTAAAGCCTACCTTCAAATAGTGTCGAGAAATGTGGTCTTAATACTGAAAATCTTTGTGATAGCCTTAAAATATATTTTCATATTTAATTATAAATTAAAAATTTGAAAATCTTGAAAATTGACGATAAAAAAATATGTTACAGGATATACTATTTGAAAAACTTGAAATCAATTTTTTTTCTTATTTCAATGTATTTTGATGTCAAGATCAATTTGAGGATATTTGGACATCAAAATAACATTTGCTAGTGAAACTTTTGAGGTGGGCTCTAATTTGATTGTTTAGAGCCTCGGTTCTATATAAATATTTTCTAATTTCAAATTAAAAAAAGTCCCCAAATAGATCTTCCCGCCGATTAAACTATGCTCCTGAGGGAACATTAGACGTGGCTTTTTAAAATTTCATACTTATTCGAGTTAGGGCAAACGTCAATTGTTTCAGACTTTCAGGCAAGCAAGGCATCGAACAGGTTGAGTCCATGGTGACCCTGACCCAACTTTCGCAGGTTTAATTAAGACGGCGTGTCTCTATCTTTCCTTGATTTTTATGGGTATTTGAATTTGAGGCTCTCTCTCTCGTGGTTTCCATAACTTTTACTGTTATTTATGTTTCAGGTTTCAAGCATTAATTTGGGGTTTTTAGCTGGGAACACCAGTCATTGTCACCGGAAAACAAGTTACCTCAGAATTTCGAGAAAAAATGGAAGATGGTTTCGATTGTTTTCTGGCACGGTATGAATTTTCTACTAGTTTTAACTAATGGGTATTTGATTTTTTTGGTCTTATAATTTTTCGTGCTTGTATGAATGGGAACTGTAGATCCTTTTATAAACATGTGGTTTTCACTTTTCTAGATTATTTTTCTAATGTAGAGGCTTAATCCACTAATCTCTGTACATTTCCATTATATAAATGTGAACTCGAAGCGTGAGAAGTTACTCTTTAAGATTATTAGATGAAATCAGTTGTGTAATCATTCACTTTCTGGTTATTTAGAAAGTAGGTTATTCGGCTTCTTTTAGTATATTTTCAATGAGATTGCATTTTTATGTGTACTTGGCGTGCAGTTCTATTTTGTATTTTATCCAGACATTGATTGATTGAATCTTTTGCTTTCTGATTTGATTGGCAGAATTCTGATTAGTTTTAATGTTTCAAACTCTATTATATACTTTATTGTAATTTGATGCCTTTTTTATCTTCTGAGCTTGCTTGATATTTTTATAATCTGAAACATTTCTACACAGGAAGATATTTTATCTGGATTTTGTTGAATTAGAATAACATATTACCTTCTGAAAATGCAGAGTGCCCAATTACAGGATTGGGACTGTTCACATGATTCAAGGAAAATTGCACCGTTGATTACACCGGTTGATGAGTAAGGACTTGAAAGTTCTATAATTTATTTGATGCATTTGTATTAGAAATATTTCTTATGAGACATTCTTGTAACATCAAGTTAATGGAATGTTAAAACCCTAAAAAAAAAACGAAGTTAATGGAATGTTAAATAGTGATTGGAATACTAATCAATATACTGAATAAAGCTTTGCTAGTAAACTTAAATAAATGCAATCTGCACAGATGTTTTCTCCAAAATAATAATAATAATAATAATTTACTGTGTACTTTCATCGAAGTGGTGCTCAGGAGGATGAGGTTTAAGAGCATTTAGAATCTAAAATATGATATAGATTGACATATATGGAGATTTACTTTGGTTCTCTTCTCTACCTCTCGCTTGGTTAAAACTTCTAAACTGTTTGAGGAATGCTCATATGTATGAAAGTTTGAATGTGAGACAAATGATTCAAAATATACTTGGAATGTGACCTTAGCAGTTATTCTTTCAAATGATGACGCTCAAGGTTAGTTTCTTGGTTACTTTTTAATGACTCCAAAAGTATAATTTTAAAGTATTGCAAAACTATATGCAAGTTTTGTAAATCCAGTTCAGATCCACCTCTTAAAATTCTCTTGAAAGGTGTTCCAGGAACCTAACAGAACTAGAATGTGACCCAGCTTAACTAAATTCACAAAAACCAAAGTAAAAACTTTCAAAGGATTGTAATGGGATTCCACTTAATTTAATATCTTGCATAAAGGAAAGGGAACTCTCAAGATACAGGTTTCAAGCCTAAATGTGTGTGTGTGTGTGTGCGCGTGTGCGTGTACTCTGAAGGCTAAATTTTAAATGTTACAATATTTTGAGGGAGCATGCTGTGGTTGATCCCATTAAGACTAGTGATGTCGCTCAATCTGTGGATTGACAATTGTGATAAAGAAAAACAAGTAAATTTATGTCCTTCTAGGGTTTTTTTTCCTATGAAGAACTTCATATCACTCTAGTGCATTATCAAAATGAACGAGGCCGTGTTTGTGGAAAGCGTAGAACGCTCAACTTGTTGGCAAGCAGCCATGCATGCTAGCCAACCTGCGTTTTGAATGATTTTGCGTGAAGAAAGATATATTAATTTATATAAGATATACAAACATGGTTGTATAGCAGTCTCACTAGAAACTCACCTTGCCATGTGGTGAGGCCAAGTAACTCGGCTGAATCCCCGAAAACTGCCACTTATTTTGGTTTCTACCTTCCTGATTTTTTATATATAACCATACATTCATCTTTCCAAGGGTATTTCCAAAGTTCTGTATCATTGGAAGTTCATCACTGGGGATCTTGAGGCTAAGGACCTTATGATTATTATATAATTTTGTTGAATGTGCCACAAAAACACCCCAAACAGTGATTCTAGTCAGTTGAATGGTGGAGCCCATGGGCATTTAAATTCAAGTGGCATAATGCAGTAAATACAATTAGATCAATAGGCATGTATATTGATGAAAAATCCTACTGCCTGGTTGCTTAAGTAGCCAAAAGAACTAAATAGGGCCTAGGTGGGGCCCTATCCGGTAATGTACTTGGGCGCCACCTAGGCTGCCTGATGGAGCCCCTGGCCAAAAAACAGGCCTTCAGCCAAGGGCTCTCTCTCTCTTCCACCCTCACACTCATATACACACATAGACCCATAGTCTTTCTCTCTCAACCCCCCACCCCACCCCAACTAAAAATAAAAAAGGACAAAAAGAAGAAAAAAGAACCCCTACTCTTGGGCCACTTAAATATCTGGGTGCTGGCCTAGGCCGCTGAATTCGCCTTCCTGAACATTGGCATGAATCTTCTTACAATTTGTCATGAGAATGAGCTACATAGAAAGTTTATGTAAGTGACAAATATCATATGAAATGTAGATATAGTCTAATAGAATACTCCTGGCAATGGGCCAGGTGGGGCAGCCCTAAAAAACTAGGGCTTGGGCCACAAGATGTGGCCCGAAGGCTGGGCCAGGGCTGGGCTACCATGACCTAAGGGCCAGGCTTGGGCTAGGGCCGAGCTTGGGCTAGGGCCACAGCAAGACTGCCCAAATTGGCCCAGCATGGCCCTGACATGGCTAGGGCCTCTTTGGCCGGGGCTCGGGCTGGCCCTATGGTGACTGGTGCTAGCGCTGTCAGTCCAGGCTCCTCCCCTTACCAGTCCTATGATAAAATAGTCAAAGTTTTTGGCTCTTTGCATGTTGTGGCTTATTCATTTTTTTCGTAATTCCTGGATAGGAGAGTTAAAGAGCATAACTGTACCACTCTTTATTATATAAGTTGTATTGGCAGGTTCTGTTTCTTCATTCTTTTTTTGCATCACTGATACCAAACATGATGTAGGATATTTTGACCATTGTCCATAAACACATAACTTACAGGTCTAAGAAGTGTTCGGTCAGTGTTTTTAGTCCTGTATCTTTTATGACAAGCCTTGTATGTAACAAAAGCCTTGTTCGGTCATGGTATAAGAATCTAGAACTTGCATGTAACAATTAGCTATTCAGTGTGTTTGTGTGTGTGCATGTGTGTGTGTGTCTCTGTGTGTGTGCAATTCGTACTTGCAACCTTAAGCCTAGATGCATAGTCTCACATCACTAGGTGATAGAGTTCCATATCACTAGGTGATAAGGGAGAAACGTGTTTTTACCAATCCAATGTCAGAAAGAAGTGTTTCTAACATGCGTTAGACACTATTTTTGGATTTATTTAGAGAAATAGATTAGACACTAGTAGAGGTGGTTGTACTTTTTCCTTGCCAATTATCATGGTTTTATTTGGTTCTAATTTCTCACAAAATTTCTTGCCAATTTATCAATATTTTGGTCAGTATTAATTTCTCCTGAAAATTTTTGAGTTTTAACGAATTGATTGGTGCTTCGGGATTTTAAAATTTAGAATATTACCAGGCTAGTTGGCTGGAGATTTTTCAGGATGACATATATATATATATATATATATATATATATAGTAGGTAA